CAGAAATGGTGTGAACTGCAAACAATACATTGTTTTGATATCCAGATTAATATCGCACACTCATTCTCAGACACCCATTTCATTTACTTTTAAATTAGTGGGAACCTCAAAACTAAATTAACTGAACAAATTAAAATATATAATAGTGAAAGAGTACATTCTGTTAAGTTCTTGATAGAAACAAATTTTACAGATTTAGTTTGATGAAACAGGTATTCAGATACATTTTACTTCGTTTAAGAGTCAAGAGACATTTAATTAAAGGTCTTTGAGCCTATAATTCATGATCCTAGAGAAGCTAAATAAGGTGAACCTGAAAAAAATCATATAGTTATCCTCCTGGATATTGGAAGTAGACAAGATTGCCAGGTAACCCTGGGTGCACGGGAGGAGGGTGGAAGGAAGGGGAGATGGTTAGAGAGAAGGGAGTAGGGGAGGATTGGGGAAAGCTTGGGGGAATGGGATTGGGGAGAGGGAGGAAGGATGGTTATGGGAGCAGGGAAGTATATATCTCAACTAAGGAAGCCATTTTAAGTTTTGCAAGAGACTTGATTCTAGAGGGGTTCCCAGGTCCAAGGTGAGGTCCCCAGATTGTTCCCTGGACAGCAGAGGAGAGGGGGCCTGAACTGGCCTTGGCCCATAACCATACTGATGAATATTTTGCATATCACCATAGAAACTTCATCTGGCGATGAATGGAGATAGAGACAGAGACACACATTGGAACACTGGACTTAACTCCCTAGGTCCAAATGAGAAGCAGAAGGAGGGAGAACGTGAGCAAGGAAGGCAGGATCAGAGGGAACCTTCATCTGACGATGGATGGAGATTGAGACAGAGACCCACATTGGAGCACTGGACTGAGCCCCCAAGATCCAAATGAGGAGCAGAAGGAGGGAGAACATGAACAAGAAAGGCAGGACCGTGAGGAGTGCATTCACCTACTGATACAAGGGGACTGATCTAATGAGAGCTCACCAAGGCCAGCTGGACTGGGCCTGACCGAGCATGTGATCAAACCGGATTCTCTGAATGTGGCTGACATGGGGACTGTCTGAGAAGCCATTGATAATGGCAATGGGACTTGTTTCCTCTGCATGTACTGGACTTTTGGGATCCTAGTCTGTTTGGATGCTCAGCTTCCTAGACCTGGAGGGAGGGGGGAGGAACTTGAACTTCCCACAGGGCAGGAAATCCTGACTGCTCTTAGGATTGGAGAGGGAGGAGGAGAGGGAGTAGGGAGAGTGGGAGGGTAGTGGGAGGAGGGGCGGAAGTGGAAAATTTTATAAATTAATAAAAAAGTCAAGAGACATGAAAAATAAATATATAAGCATGTGCATTGTCATTTTTCCTTCCTTTTTGTATCATTTTTATGTGTTATATTATTTTCACTAACTTAATGGAAGATTCTTGAATACTAAATTCTATAATGTGGAAGATACTGTTTAACACATGAGTAAAAATTTAATAATGTCCATATTAAATTAAATCCTCAGTTTATTACACTGACATAGAAAGACACAAAACCAAGATAATGTCTAGGTACAAAAAAAGATTTATCGGGCAAGCTTGCAAACCCTGACTTACAGTGGCTGTGTATGGTTATACCTTGCCTAATTCTTAGGGCACCTTACAACAAATTGGATGAGTCAATATGAAGCCCAGTGTGTAAGTGTTTGTAACTAATAGTATTGTATACTATAACAGAACCTGGTTGTCACAATTTAGGAAGTATTGCATTAACTGGACAGAAGTATGACATTTTTGAGGATAGTGATTTGTGAGACTTATAACATTCTTATAAGTCCATGACATGAGATAGAGGTAATTTAAAAAGAAATTAGCAGGTTCTTTAAAAATTAATAAAATTGACCTATATCTTAAGCTAGTACTTGGAATTCCGATAAGAGGAAATGGACTCTGTCTCTGTTAGATAGGTTCATATCCATGCCTCAAAGACAAAGACAGAATCTAGTCAGCTGAGGTGGTTAAAGAGAAGCAATGGACTGTTGCCTGTGCCACTCTATTCCAATCATCTTCTGTCTCCTGCTTTCATAGGACTTGTATCTAAATCAAAAACATTTTTTTAAAAAAATTTAAATAAATGTTTATTTTTTAAAAAATTTAAATATAATAAGATAAAGTAAAAACCATCACATTGAAGTCGGACAAAGTAAACTAATGATCGGAAAAGAGCCACAAGAAGAGAAATAAGAATCAGAGACCCACTTGTTTACACACTCAAGAGTCTCATACAAACACTAAATTGAAAGTTATTATATATATATATGTGTATATATATATATATATATATATATATATATATATATATATATATATATATATATATATAAAATAAA